AGTACTACTACTACTACTACTGCTCCTAGTACTACTGCTGCTGCTACTACTGCTAACTACCAGCTACGAACTACGAACTACTGACTACTTACTACCAACTACCAACTACCAACTACTAACTACTAAGTACTAAGTACTAACTACTAACTACTAACTACTGCTGCCACTGGTATTGCTGCTGCTAATGGTAATCTTGAATAGTCATGAATAGTGATTATGCAAACGTTTCATTTATTTGTTTTTCTACTGTTCAAAGAATAGTGCTAGTTAACCATAACCCATCATCATAACACTTGGCAAAAAAGCAAAACAACAGCAAGATAGTAGCTTGATGCAAAATGCGTTATGATCATGCGAATGACATGTGATGGTGGGTCTGTCCGAGCTTCGTGCTTCATTAAACAGAGCGGCTTCCCTTACCTCAGTGCCCGTAGCCGTGTTACAGTTTGTGTTCACTCATTCGCCTCGTACAGCCTGCTAGTTTGTTTAAGATTTAGGGTTGAGGAGGGTCTTCGGGCTCTGATAATTGAGCATGGTGCATCGCAGCTGGTTTATCAGAATTTCCATATTCGGCATGAAACTTGTGGCTAGATGGGTTGCTGTTAAAGAACTTAAGTTCAGTTACCATATAATGGGGATATGTCGCAAATACGCCGGGCTTATGTTTGCAATTTAGTTTAAGTTCCTTTACAGCAGCCCAGTGTCTCGATGCTTGCCGACTTGAACCAGCCGAGGTTTGTCGTTTGCGGCCGAGCTCGAAGAAGAACCGAGCTAGGCCGGTGGCTCTTTGTCTTCAGAGCTTACGGTCGTTCCTGTCTGTGGAAGGAAACGAAGGTGTTGCCCTGAACCCTAGACCCTGCACAAGCCAAACTCAAATCTCGAACTCAATCAAAATGCCCAAAGGATGCCGCCCGAAGAGCTGTACCGCGCAATCTCTGCAGTTTGCACGAATCGTCGCGGCGCAACTGTACCCAACTAAATAAATTGTATGTCCTACACTCTACGCCCTCAGCCCTAACTATCCTAAACATACCTCGAAGAAGTCTGCTGCAGCCAGGAGTTCTCGGCCGTGTGCCGGGGAGCATGCCGGGAAGCTGGAGAAAAGTGTATCTGCAGCAGTGTCTGCGTAAAAATCTTAGGCTTCTAGGCTCAGCAAGCCCTAAACCCTAAACCCTAAACCTTAAAAAACTCGAATTTAGGGTTTAGGATTTGGTGTTTTGGAGTCTCGGGGCTGTTTAGCTTAGCTTAGCGCTTAGGGCTGTTTGTTTGTTTGGTTTTTGTTGCAGGATTGCCCACCTCTTTGTTCAACCTCCACTCTGGAAGAGCTGAGGTTTAAACTGCAGCGCATCGGGTTTAGGGTGTAGGGTTTAGGGTTCAGGGTGTGTAGTTGACCAGCATGGTTTCTGTGTGCCACGTGACAGGGGATACCAGTCTTTGCAGTACCTTTAACATCCTTTAACTTTTCTGGGTTGCTATAACCCTTAAACGATGCAAATGTTAACCTCGTGTTCCCTGGCACACGGAAGAAGCTGCTGCACCAACTCGACTCGATAGTACGGACGATCCACAGATACACACGATATCGCGGACTTTGTATCCTCAAGAACGGTGAAGTGAGAAGGCATACATAGTACACATATTCATGCACAGATATACATACATGCATACATTCACGGTGATATACGTGCACAGAGAGAGAGAGAGAGAGATCCGGCCGCAAGCACAGGGCACATGCGCGCTTGTGTTATATATATATATATATATGCATATATGAGCACACAGACACACATATATATATATATATATATTTTAAAAAAAATGCAGACAGGTTTCGGTCCCTGGTAGTTCATCGAATCTGTCTTGAGGTAGCCTCGCGTGTGTAACGGCTTCAGCAAAGCGCCTGCGAGAGGACCAAGACCTCATCGGCACGGCTTCCTATGATGGCTACATCAAGGTGCGCCGGGTCTCTCGGAAGTGTGCCAGGGTTTACGGTTTGGGGTTTAGGGTTTAGGGGTTTAGGGTTTAGGGTTTAGGGGTTCAAGGTTTATAGGTTTAGGGTTTAGGGTCAGCTCGTGTGAACATCAAAGCCGACATTCCCGAAGTACCATGGCTGCGAGTCCGTGAGGTCCGGTTCTGTCAAGGGGATCACCCGTCTCAAACGTCCCCCACCAAAATCTGTGAAGCAAAGACCCTACACAATCCCTAAACCCCTAAACCATAAAGCCCTAAACCCTAAACCCCTAAACCATAAAGCCCAAAACCCCTAAACCCCTAAACCATGAAGCCCAAAACCCCTAAACCCCTAAACCATAAAGCGGCAAGGTGTGTGCAGGCTTTTCAGGGCTTTTGGCTTCAGGGTTTCCTCCCCTGCAGCTCTGGCGGATCTCTACACACGAGAGCGTCCGGGAGATGTATGCCGGCAAGGACCGGGATTTGCGTGTTGACATCGTTTCGGCTTCAGTTCACAGCTCCTCAGTATTCTGACCGTTCAGGGTTTAGGGTTTAGGGTTTAGCTCGAAGAAGGTTTGATTGCTCTCCAGTCTCCAGAAGCTTTGTCACTGAAAGCCTCGAGGCAAAACCCTAACCCTAAGGGTCCAAGTACCCGTTTAGGGGTTTAGGGTTTAGGGTCAGGGTTTAGGGTTAAGGGTCCAAGTACCTGATGATCATAAGTTCTCCCAAATACTAACCTAGATAACTATTATCCGCAAACAAAGTACCTCATTATTGGGTCCTTTGGACCCTTAGGGTAAGGGCCCCAAACCGAAAATCCCTAGGCAAGGAATTTCAACGCGACCCTTGAGCGAATCTCGGAACCCTCGTAGGATGCCTAACATAAGGAGCTTCAGGTTTCGCGATGTCCTTTAGGGCTTAGGGCTTATAGGGTTTATGGTAAAGGGTCTAGGATTTGTACGGTTTATGGTTTATGCTTTAGTGATGCAGGATCAACTGCTCTATGGCTTGGCGTTCAGCCCCAACTCGGCCAAAGTCTGTGCTGCCGGGCACTCAGCGCGGCTTATTAAGAACATCACCTCGAACTTAATCCTAAGATCTGCGAGTGCAAGAGTTGCAAGTAAATTACGGAGCATGAACACGGTTAGAGCTGTGGAAGTTTGGAAATTGTCCGGGTCTTTGCCAGGGCTGAGTGGTTCTGACAGTTCCTGGGTTTTCTTGTGGGGGTTGGGGCGGAAACCCTAAACCGAAGCCTAAGCCTTGATTCGGGGTTGCCGGAGCTCTATAGTCCTGGGTTTAGGGTTTAGGGTAAGGCAAAACCCTGACGGTCCATGTACCCAAATAGTATATACATTAGCCCCAAAGTACTTATATAGGGACTACTTTAAGGCCAAAGTATATCTATTTGGGTACATGGACCCTTAGGGAAACAGAGCGTGATATGCACCTGAGCTTCTCCATCCTGAACACCGAACTCTCCGAAGCCTACACCCCAAGCATTGTTTGAGGCTCGTGTCGTCTTTTGGGGGTCCATGTTTGAATACACCCCTTCGTTGGGGGGTTACCTAGGCACCTATCTTTCGATGTAGCGGATCTTTGCCATAAACTACCCTAAACCCCAAACCTCCTAAACCCCTGAAACCCAAAACCCCTTAAGCCAGCACCCTAAGCCCCAAACCCTAAACCCTAGGTGCCCCAACAAAAAGGGGTAGAGTTTGACCATCCGGGCTTGCTCTCGAGGCTCCTCCTGATTTCTGAATCTAGAAGGGCTTTGGGGTTTTAGGGGTTCTCCTGTAAGTGTTCCTTGAAGGGGCCTACTATAAGGGTACAATAGAGGTCAAGCTGAGAGTCTAGAGGTTTTAGAGGTTCAGGGTCTAGGGCTTATTTAATTTGGGGTTTTGGGGTTTAGGTTTTGGGCTTTGAGGGCTTGAAGGCCTGGGTGTCTAACTCCAAGTATTACAGGGTTTAGGGTTTTTAGGGGCCTTTTTAAATACTCGACACCAAACATCAAGGGCTGCTTAGACCCTTGGGAGAAGGGTGTCGGGCGTATAGGAATCTGGTACATACTTCGCAGCTTCTCGCAGATTTCCTGTAAGCAAAACACCCATTGTTAAGTCTGTATAGTCACATGGGTAGTTCTCTGAACTGGGGTGTCTCTTAGGGTCCTTTTTATACGGGTGCCGTACTATATCGGGGATCCAAAAAGGGACCCTACTTTAGAGAACTACCCACATATGTTCATGCCGATTTTGGACAACATCTTCATCAACGGAGCCCCTTGGAAAAAGATCCGAGGTGAGTAGCACCGGCCTTCTACTCATCTGGAAAGTGGACACTGGAGAGAATGTGGTGAGGCACGTAGGAGACCGACTTTAGGGTTTAGGGTTTAGGGTTTAGGGTTTAGGGTCCACTACCCCGAAGCATCCCGAAACCCCAAACCTTCAACCCTAAACCCTAAACCCTAAACCCAAAACCCGAAACCTCAAACCCGAAGCCTTCAACCCTAAACCCTAAACCCGAAACCCTCAACTTCTCTAGCCTGGGGTTTAGGGTTTTGTTGTTTTCCAGTTTTTTTTTCGGAGATAGGGTCGCAGCTATGGTCTGTGGAATGGTGCCGAAAACAAAGCTGTTTGAAAAGCCTTCCCTGAAGCCTAAACCCTAAACCTTACACCCTACTTTAAGAACCGAAAACCTACTTTTTTTGTAGGGTCCCTATAAATCCCATAGTAGGGTTTATAATAGGAACCTACCAAAAAGTAGGGTTTGGTAGTTTAAGGTAAACCTTACACCCTAAACCCTAAAGCTTAAACCCCAAACCCTAAACCTTCAACGCAAAACTTTACGCCCTAAGGACGCAAAGTTTCAAAAGTCCTTCTCAGAGCCTGAGCTGCCCGCAGCTTCCCCCAAGGGTCCATGTACCCAAATAGTATTTAGCTTGGCCCCAATGTACCTATATAGGGACTACATTCAAGTTCAAAAGTAAAGGGTGGTTCTCTAAATTAGGGTCCATGTTTAGGTCCCCAATATAGTACGGCACCCTTATAAAAGGGACCCCAAAAGGGACCCTGATTTAGATAACTACCCATATACTGTTTGGGTACATGGACCCTTCGGCTTCAGGATTCTCTGGCTGCTTTTGGGACGGTTTAGGGTTTAGGGTTTACCGAGATCCTGGTTAAACATTAAGGTCTGAACCGGGAAGCCTACATGCTATAGGGGTCGGGGTAGACACGAATAGTGCCTTAGGTATAACGTTTTTGCAAAAGCATCCAAGGCCCTATTCTGATGATTTCGGTAAGGCCCCGGCATTACCAAAGCGATCAGACAGCGACTGCTCCGCCTTGCAGGACTAGTAGTTCCTGTGACGCCTTGCAGTCAGAATTTGTTGTTCAGCTCGGTGACCCGGTGGTCCTGGCTGCCTTTTTCCTACCTTTTTGTGGGGCGAGCCGCAAAATTTGCGGCCTCACGTCACCATGCAGAATCAGCACGCAGTAGTACGCTGCTGCACCGTGCTTCTTGCCTTATAACCACGCTTCTGTTCGGACTGCTGCGCTGGCTTTTCGTCCTCGTTGCGAGCGGGTTTTTTTTTTTCGACATTCAACTGGCAGCCTTTTTGCTTGCAAACGACGGCCACTTCTGCGCTCGCGCCTGCTGCCGGCCATGTGCGAAGCTTTTTCAGCGCGTGCAAGTTTCTCCTGATGTCCGTCGCCTCGTGAGGCCTACTGCAGAGTCCTTGCAGCGTCTCTTCGCCCGGCTCACGCTGGCCGACGTCCACGTCGGAGTACAGGCCCAGGACGGTGTCAGCTGTCGTTGCTTGTCTTTTCGCCTTCTGCAGGCGATGTCGCTCGCGAACCGCGTGGAGTTGCACAAGCTGCTGCGTGCTTCGACTGCTTCTCATGGATGCTTGCGAGAACAAGGCCGCAGAGCAGAGGCTTTTTCCGACATCTTCTTTATCCACTTGGTTTGTGGGTTTGCGCCGTCAAGAAAAGCACGAAGAACAAGGACATCTGCTCTGAGCGATGCTCACATCATCCGGGCAGCAGGCCTGCTTTCAGCATCTTCTGTTTTAAAGACAGTCTGCCACTTGGTCAGGCTTTTTGGGCAAGATGAAGAGGTCTCCGCAGTCTGCAGACCGCTCTCTGCTGCTTTCCTCTGCCTCAGGCGCGGCCGGCCTCTGCAGAAAGGCGACCCCGTGTGCGGGGCATGTTTGATCCGCGCTTTCGCGTGCCGCCTGGGTCTCGAATTTCTTGGCTGCGTTGTCGCTGAGCTTTTCTTTCCGGTCGTTGGCGTTGGCTCGCCAGGCCAGCGCCACCCCAAAAAACGGCGCGCCCAGCTTCGCCTTCGGACAGCGACTAACGCTCCGGCGCGCAGGTCTTCCTTTAAAAACAAGCTTCTGCCGTGAAAGGCGTGAGATTTCTCTATTTCCTTTGCCGTCGGCAGAGCAGCTTCTAGACTTCTTGCCTTTTTCGTCTTAGGCTCAAACGTCAGAGTTTTTTAATGTCGGGGTGGAATCGGCGTCAGTTGTTCTTAAATATCTTTTGCAGTCGGCAGGGCGCTCAGTGGTTGGAGTCGTGCTTGCTTTCGTGTACTGTCTTAGGATCAGACGTCAGACTTTATTATTTCGTGATAGGAAAGGCGTCAGATTTTTAATTTCCCTTGCCATCGGCAGAGCACCTTCTAGACTTCTTGCCGCCTCTTCTTGCGATCAAACGTCAGACTTCTTTATGTCGTAGTGGGATCCGCGTCAGAACCCTAAACCAAAACCCTAAGCCCTACAGCCCAAGCGACACAACGGCCACAAGAGTTCTTCGGGTTTTGTTCAGGCAGCAGCTGCACTCTGGTCAGGCTCGAGTTCTGCTCAATCTTGGAGGGTTTACTATCGGAGCTTTAATAAGTACCTATGCTATTTTGAAGGTTCCGCAATATAGTTACAGTAATTTGTACCCCCAAAACCCTATTCTAATTATTAATGCCCTTGTGTTAAGGGTTTAGGCTTGATCGAGTTTCATATCCAGACCCTGGAAGCCTAAAGCTTGGCTCTAAACCCGGTGTCGCTTGCTCCATGGTTCGGATCCTATATTGAGCAGAGACTAAGGTAACCAGCAAGGTGCAACATGTTAGGGTCGAGGTAGGGGATGCGCATTTCGGAGTTGGAGTTTGGGGGAACAACGGTCCGACAGTTCGTGCTTTAGGGTTTACTGGGCTCTGGAAATGGGGGGGGTCTCCCATGCTGTTGTCCTTTGAACCAGGATTGCAGAATTTGGGGCTTTTAGGTTGAGTCCCCAAGGATGGTAAATGCTTCGGATTTAGACTTGAGGCTCCCATTCTGTTTCTGAATCTCCCTCATCGCATAGAAGACACTGGTGAGGATATCAGGCAGCCGGGAACTTAAGCCCTAAACCCTAAACCCTGATGTGGGAACATCAGCCGAGCAGTCTTGATCTGCTAAAAACCACATAGCAGTAATCGGCCTGGAAGATCTGTACAACAGGTGTTGCAACTTGTAGCAACCAGCTAAGGTTTATGTTCAGTTCCTCTGGAGTGTGTGTAGGCTTTTGGGAACATTGGTGGGTTTATGATTGGGGGGGGGGCTTTTGCGACACGGGAAGTTCGAACCCTACCTACTTTATGCAGCGCTCAAGATTCAGGTCCACCTCCTCAGTACTCGCTCACCACTACTGCGCCCTCAGTATATACAGAAGAGCCTTATAGGGTTTAGGGCTTAGGGCCCCAAACCCTTAAACCCGTTAAACCCAACACCCTAAACCCTAAATCCTACACCCTAAACCCCTAAACCCCTAAACCCTTAATCCTTAGCCCTTATAAACCCTAAGCCCTAAGGGTCCATGTGCCCAAAGAATATATAGTTTAGGGTTTAGGGTTTTGGGGTTTTGGGGTTTGGGGTTAGAGCCTAGGTCACAGCATAGAGACGCCCTCGACCCTGTTACTTACAAGAGAACTACTTCTCGGAGCTTCTTATGATGAAGAACCTACAGCAAAGTAGTTTCTGGTACCCTAAACCCTAAACTCCCTAAACCCTAAGCCCTAATCTCTAAACCCTAAACCCTATATATAAACCCTAAACCCTATTAACCCTAGTCCCTAAACCCTAATCCCTAATCCTTACACCCTAAATCATAAACCCTAAACCCTAAACCCTAAACCCTAAACCACTTAAACTGGTCACGGGCCAGGCCTTTCGCTGCGAGTGGAACCAGCGAGGCTCCCACCAAAGCTACGAGCTGACGTGGACCTGGTTTGGGGTTTAGGGGTTTTGGGGTTAGGGATTTAGGGGTCTAGGGTTTAGGGTTTAGGGATTTAGAGGTCTAGGGTTTAGGGTTTAGGGATTTAGGGGTCTGGGGTTTTGGGTTTCGGGATTTGCGGTTTAGATCAGGATCTAGGGGTTTGGGTTTCGGGGTTTGGGGGTTTAGGGTTTAGATGAGGGTTTAGGGTTTTGTGTTTCGGGATTCGGGTTTAGATTCGACTTTTAAAGTTTGGGTTTAGGGTCTAGATTAGGATTTAGGTTTTTGGGACTGTCGGGTCTGGGGTTTAGATTACGATTTAGGGTTTGGGGCCTATAGGGGTTTGGGGTTTAGATGTGGATGTAGGGGTTGGGTTTAGGGGTTCAGGATTTAGGGTTTGGGGTTTAGGGGTTTGGGGTTTAATTCGGATTTAGGGTTGGGGGTTCAAAGGATTTAGTATTGTTGTCGGTTTAGGAACGTGGGGTTTGATTAGGATTTAGGGTTTTGGGTTTAGGGGTTTGGGGGTTTAGGGTTTGAGGTTCGGGGCTGACCTCGACCTAAGATACCTACATGTTTAGATATGGTAGATTTTTCAGGGTTCAGGTTTATTTGGTGCTTCTGGGGTGTGCTACGCTACGTGCTACGAGGATATTCTTTCGGGTTTTAAGTGGGCTTGAGAAGGGCCTTGCAATATAGGGACCTTCATCATTAGAGTAGGGTTAGGGTTTTTGGTGAAGAGTCTACTATAGTTGCATTTCAGGTTCAAGAGCTGGCGCTGTGGGTATCGTTACCTGGGAGCTAAGAACGGCCATCTCGAGATAGCCTGTTCAGCAGCTTTGGTAGCCCTAAACTGAGCCGCAAACCTGAAGGATCGCTGTGCTTCGCGAAGCTCCAGCATTTTCATCAAACATCATTGTATTCATGAGGCTGGGTGCTCTGCCAATTCAATATAATTCAATCCTGTTTGTGTGTGCACATAATGTAGGGGCCTTAATAACTAGAATAGGGTTTGGGGTATATTATATCACAACTATAATAAGGACCCCCCCCAAAAAAAAAATAGTAGAGGTAATTATTTATAGGCCCCGACATTATTATGTGTGAAGCTTCAC